AGCAAGTAATAAAGGATAAGAATAACTCAAATTCTGACAAAAATTTACTTGTAAAATGTACAAAAAAAGATGAGATCTGTGCAGGTTCATCATCARCAAGATGGCAGCATAACATAAARTGTTATTTAAGTCATATTGCAATATTAATCGCAGGGTTAGAACATAMTTGCAWTTTTTTTCCAATATTGTGCAGCCCTAATGTAAATTCACACAAAAAAATGTGGAAATAGTGATAAATGGACAACTATTCTCCCTCTGTTAAAAAASGGGGTGAACCAACAAATGTAAACAACTACAGACCAATTTTCATAAATTGTATTTTGACAAATTACCTGAATTTTTAGAGTCAAATAACATTTTATCACCATTTCAGTCGRGCTTTAGAAAACAGCACAGTACCGTTACAATAGTTCTCAAAGTCTTAAATGATTTTACATATGCTCTGGACAGCAAAAAACATTGTGTTGTAGTTTTTATTGATCTGTCCAAAGCATTTGAAATGGTTGATCACAGACTACTGATAAACATCCTGGAACATTCTAGTCTATCAAAACACACAGTTTCCTGGTTCGCACACTATCTGACTAACAGAACACAATCTGTTYGTGTGGCTGGATCCACCTCATTCTTTTTAGATGTCAAAGGGGTGCCACAAGGTTCTGTTTTGGGTCCAATTTTATCTCAATCTGATTTATGTAGCTATCTGTCAAATGATTCCTACCATTTTTACACAGACGACATCGTTACTTGTTGCTGCTCATCCTCCCTTACTCATTCTTTTACATTTCTGCAGGACTCTTTCATTCAGTATTGTCTCCAAAAACTTAAGTTAGTTTAAATGCTGACAAAACCAAGCTCATGGTTCTAGTTAACAGAAACAACAACGAGAGAGTCTCCCACAAATTGTAACCACACAAGGAAACAAATAGAACTGGTCCAAACTTAAATACCTGTTTTGTTTTTTTCATTTATAGTGACTTATTATTTAAAGCTTACTGTGCTAAAAAAAAAAAAAAAAAAGGCTACTAAATTCAAATTGAAGTTGGGTTTTATTTTAGAAACAATGCCTGTTTTTCAGCTAAAGTAAGGAACACCATAATAACTGCCCTTACTGGATTAATGGACTATGGCGACGTGCTGTATAYGAGTGCTCCATCAAAATATCTGCAGTTTTTAGACATCATTCACCACAATGCTCCGAGGTTCATCACTGTTTTCAGTTACTGCACTCATCACTGTGAGCTGTATGTTAAATCTGGATACATACACTGGATACCTCTAATCTACAAGGCCATCCTTCATGCACCTTACTACAAAGAATTAACAGCCTCTATTCCCGGCGCTCCAGCAATGTTGTCCTCCTAACAGTTCCATGTGTCAGAACTGAACTGGGGGAGCATTCATCTTTTCCACCCCTTAGGCTTAGAACACCTTACAGACATTTCYGAAACCGCAAGGACTCATTTATTTAAGAAACTTCATCTCAACCCTAACAGTATTACCAAGACCTTTGATTGAAACATTACCCAGGGATAGACATAAACATTGTTTAGGTTGTCCGAGACAACCTATTTTYGTTTCGGACAACCAGATCCTGTCTCCTGGTTGTCCGKTGGACAACCAAGCAAAAAAGACCTCGATTAAAGTTCTCTGCYGCGGGTGTTCATCATTTGTAAAAAATGAAAGGGAGAAAAAACTTGGTAAAACCAAACAGAACACTAAACTGTAACTTTTAATAAGGTCATGTACACAGGATACTCCTATTTAAGTCAAAATGTTTGACCTAYGAGCAGAAAGAAGCTTATGAATGTTGAACTCTATTTGAATGAAGAGAATGAGGAAATTTTATTCATGCAGATCCTGTCAACCTGGCTGACTGAGAACAATTATATATAATAAACTTCGTCTACAGAACAATATGCTTGTTAAATTACATTTCTCTTGAGATTCTTTTGAACAACCAAAATGTTTTGCAGACAACCAGCTTTTGTCAACAGGTTGTCCGATGGATAACCTGAAAAATTTCCTTATGTCTACCCCYGATTACCTATTCAGTCACTTAGCTGTATTTTGTCTGTCTGTACTTCAAACATCATATATTCTTTCATTTTATCACTTGTACTTTCACTAAATCATTTAGTTAAAGTCAATGTCAAGATTATTACTATGCTTTGCCTGAAAGCTTAAAATTATTCACTGTTTAAATCCGGTTAAACCTGTGTAACACTATTTTGTTCTTAATTGTGAACTGTTTTTTAATTATTATTTTATGACTTGTGCTGCTGACCTCTTGGTCAGATCACACTTGGAAAAGAGATCTTGATCTCAATGGATTTTATCTGGTTAAAGAAGGTGATCGATTGACTTTAATGAACTAGCCATGTGGTGTTTTCATGATCACTGGACATTGTTCTCAAACTAAGCTGATCCTAAATTATGACATTTCCAGCAAACCCCCCCAGCCTCTATTTCTGTTTATTAAYGAACAACCTCGGCCACTTTTGCCTCTCGGTGAGTATCAAGTGGCAGCTATAAGCTCACAGCTCTTTGGTGTATGAAACCCTTCCCCACTGAGAAGATGATACGCTCAAAAAAATGCAACTGAGCTCACTGTCATTTTTCTCTCTCGCTTTCTTTCTTTTTCTTTTTCTTTTTTTGTGTGTGTGCACTTTTTGTTGCATCCGGAGCAGCATGCAGCTGTGCACAAAGCATCCTGCTACCCGAGACACAGAAAACTTAACGACACACTTAATGCCTGCATGGCCTCAGCTACATGTTACAATAAATGCCTTTTAAAAGGAGCAGACATGGGTAACAAAATGGTCTTTCTTGCTGTTTGGTGACCTTAATCTGAATACAACATGTACTTGTTGTTCTTTAAGGCTTTATCTTAAAAAAACAACAAAGTTGGTTATATCTGAAAGTTTAAAACCATTTTAGACACTATTAGAAAAGCGCACAAAACTACACTTTAAATGCTAATTCTGTGCAAAATGTCAAGACTACAAAACACACTTCAGAGGTTGTGTCACACTGAAAACAAAACACACAAAAACAAATCTTTTCAGAAATATAAAATGAGGATGCTTCACTCTATTCTATAACGTTGGAACAATGTTACTTAATGGAAAATTGCAAAGAATATTTGCATTCTGTAGTCTCTAGTACATGAAACTATTACTAGCTTTATTCCCCCAAAATATCTGTAAGCAAGGAGAACGATGGAAAAATGATCTAGGCTGTGATCTTCGGGCCACTGGGTGCATTAAATGCATAAAATTCTGTGGTGAAAAAAAAAATCACCTCATGGACTTCGGAAAGTTYCCTAAAACCTCTTTCCATGAACAAACTTCCACATCAACAAATGCAACCTAAAAATTGTACAAAATACACATTTAAAAAGATCCAAATAGCACTGCCCCACTTGAAGCGCTCAAATGGAAAAACCCCTGACAAATCACTTTTCAAAATTCTGTCTGTAAATCATAAACACTGCTTCTTTTGAGTGACTCCCCAGAGATCACACGATGGAAGGAGCATGTTCTGGTGCATAGAAATGTTTTAAAAAAAAAAGAAAAGAAAAAGAAACACGGAGAACAGGGTGACTGACGGAAATGGGCTAAAAAGAAAATCCAGGGGCACAATAATGTACAGCAACTGCCATAAATTTCCATTTCAAACTAAACATTTCTGATCAAAAGTCTCCTGGAGCGGACTTTAGTCTGGTGGAGGAGTGCAGAATCCTGAATTTCATCGATTTGAGCTCTGATGATCCCAAAATCCATAGATCCAAGACTTGAGACATCCCTTAAAGTTAAAGGGAAATAATGGTGTCCAGGAGGGGTGAGGGTTAGAATTAAATTTTAGATTTATCGTATCAGCTGACATAGAAAATTCTGAATCCCTTTTCATACGTCAAACATGTATTTTGTTAATCTGTCCTGATATCTTTAAACTACARTTCATACTGCAGGTCTTAATGCTCAGTTCCATTTGTTTTTTGTCTCAAATCCATTTTTTTTTTTTTTTGCGTGAACGTTTACATTCAAATTTAAATGTGACCCCCATCAGACTCCAGCGTGAGCGGTCTATGGCCCTGAAAGCAAAGCTGTGTTTCCAGAAATAAACATGGATGCTACACGTTAGCATRTGTGGATCGACTCGAAAGTTATTGTGCAATCAGAGTCAAATTAATTATTATCTCCTACGCTTGTTTCATCCAATGTTTACATTTAATCTTGCTGCTTCCCGCCTACTCAGGTGCAGCAATGGTCGCTTTGAAAAACATCTGATGTGTGTCAAGTTTGATACCACATATGCAAAAGACATGGATCGAATTTGAAAGTAGCTAAATAAATAAAAGAAAAAAATCAGATTTGTTATGTTCAGACCTTGATGAAATGCATAAAAATCAGAGGGTCTCTTCTGCTTGCAGTTCGAACATATAAGAGATTCACAATAATAAAAGTAATAATAATAATAATAAATGTTTGCAATTATTGTCATCATTTTTTCTTTCTTGAAGGATTTCTGTCTATAAAAAGTAGCTAAAGTTACCATTACATGACTGTTTTGCAATGACTTTGAAACACTTGTGTGCAGATTGTCAATAGTAAACACAGTTRCTAATCGCATTTCTGAAGGTGTTCATCAAGTAAAGTTAGCACCTATGCTAACTGTTGGTCAGCAGCCTGTAATAAATGTTTTTTAGGCAAATGTTATTGTACATTCCTTATTAGGTATGAAATATATAAATTAGTATTTATGTAAAATTATTCAGTCATTTCAGTTTATAAGTTTTGAACTTCAGTCACAGTTTTTTAGATTCAACCTGTCTAGATTAAATTGAGCTCATCAGCTCCTTCAGTTTCTGGATTTAGAACTTCTAATTAATTCGTTGGATATTCTGTGAGACATTCTAGTAACTTGGCAATTGTAACTACTTTCTTCAGTTTACAAAAAGATCACTAGCCCTGTAAGCGTGTGTGTAAACTACTCACTCTCTCCATCTATTTTCTCTGTGCTGCGGGTCCAGACAATAGTCCTGGTCTCCAGTTTTACTTGAAAAGTCCTTCTCTCAGGCCGCTGGGATTTCTTAGAGTAAAACATAGTCAGCACAGTACCCAGCTCCAGGTCTCGGTACAGGTTGTTCATCTCTGCGTCGTTGTCCATCCACGAAATAGGGCCGTTGGAAAAGAAGGCAGAGGTCCCGGCCATGTTCACTTCCCCTGTTTGTTATCGGTTTCCTCTCAGAACAATCTGCACAGTCCAGGCCTAGACAGGGTTACCTAGAGCAGGAGGAGGAGGAGGAGGAAGAGGAGGAGGGAATCCATGAAACAACAATTCTTTTAAGTGCCTATGCTGCCAGCACACTGATTTTTTTTTATTCTACCACTAAGAGAATGACGTGTGCTTGAAATCACAGCAGAAACTGTGACGTGAACACACAGTGCGTCTTTACACTAGCAGAAATTATTTGAAAATTGAAGTTTTCAGCACCCATAACTATTCCCATCTTCATATCTTCCAATCTTAAGATATTCCTTCACCTTGATGCTACATACTAACACTTGATGTTTAAATAAAAAAGCTTAAGGAGCAATCCTGATAAACATACCCTAGAGTGCTTAAATTTGTATATATGCAAGGTTTGTTTTTAAACATGCCTCTTTGAACGTGATGACACAATATAATGGATGTTTCAATGTATGTTAAGTTGTGCAACTAAAAGCTATTAAAATACATTTATTTAAATACAGTATGTTAAAAACTTTAAACTCAGTATTTAATTCATGTAAGATTATGTCATAGTAAACCTGTAACAAATTAAGTAAACTGAGTTTTAAGTACAGTTAGTAAATGACAGTTGTCATCTGAGCCATCTTGAGTAAAATGGTTTAAATGACTAAATGTATTTGAGCATATTTACATTTAGGGAGGTATTTAGTAGTAGGTATGTTTATTCTGGTCTCACAGAAAAGCAAAAACACCAGACTAGTTATCTGCTGCAAGAAATAAAAGCAGGTTTGTTTGCTTTTTTTAATTATTGCTATTATTTTTACACGACATTTTTAGGAAAACGTCCGTGGCGAATAGCAGGAAAGTGGAAGTAAATGTCTGTTTTCACAGCGTGGAAACGGGGCCGGTGTGTGCTACCATTTGGCTGGGCCGAAGAAAGAATATGGCTGGCTTCTCCCAAGGAAAAGAGCAGGTAACAGGAGCTCTTCTAACCGTTTCTCCCCCTCCTTTGTCCTCCCGAACATGCGGAGGATTTTTTTTTTTTCTTTACCAGGAAAACAAGACGTAGAAGAAGGAGCAGCTGTGCTGGTAAGTACCTACCGCAGCAATCTCTGCCCGACCGCACATCTCCGACGGCCGCTCTCCTCCTCTCTCCTCTCCGCCGTCGTCTCTTTTTCTTCCCCTGCCCCTATTTCGGTCCCGGTTTTTCCGTGGTTAAATCATCGCCGGGCCCTCGAAAGGCGCTGCGCTCCCGACGACAACAACCTGAGCGGTTTCTTTTACTCCCTTCAAGCTGTCCATAGAAAGAAGGAGGCAGGCAGATGACGAGAACCGTGGCAAGACTACGCAAGTTTGCTCTCAACCCGAGCAGCGCAGGCCCCTCCCCCCTCCTCCTCCAGCCTACTACCAGCCGGTGATAACACTTCCTCTGAGGATTTTCACAATAAAACATGTCACTTCTTTCAGAGCCCAGACCTTTTCTTTTAATCTTTTTAGATCTACAATACACAACTGCAATGTTTAACTCTTACTCCTGAATACAAGCTATCTTTAAAAAATCCCATCAACTTTTGACTAATAAAGGCTGAATCTTTTTATAAT